CACCGCATTAAAGTCCAGCCCAAAGTAGCGGAAATCTAATCTGCTGTGCTTTGTACACGCGCAAATTTTCATGAAATTACAACATTTTCCACAGTTTTTTATGTTGCAAGAAAAAAGCCTGCTTGGCAGGCGCGATCCTACGTAGCTCAGACAGACAAGTGTTTTTCTCTCCATGTACTTACCATCATGAGACAGATGTAAGGTACGTAAGTATTTCGTCTCACATACCAGGCGTGTCGGCGCGCGGCAGGAGTGGTGTGTATACGCTGGCGAGGCTGAGTCTGGTCTGGAGCGACTGGGGGATGGGATTCTGGGGATCAGACCGCAGGAGTGGTTCCAGATATCGTGACACTCGGGCGAGAGCTGGGAACCGGACACTGCCCATGTGGGGTGGCTGTCGTCACCACCCACGAAAATAGCCACGACCTGAGTTCGCAAGGATCATCTCATCTACTTTCATACAGTCAGTAGTTAATGGTTTGTTTTTCTTACCGAACAAGTGCAGTTTAAATCAGCTCGCGTTTTTAAATGTAAATGAAAGTCATTGAGCAACATATACATTTTCAGTTTATACTATATTATGGCAAAAATTTATTAGACCTTTTTACATGCATGTATACATAATATACAGCATTCCAACACCTCACATATTATCTGAGCCGGTTTTCTCTCTCTCCCATTAGTATGGGGGTAACCCAGTGTCAATGGCCATAGCTAAGTCAGTTCTGGAGGTGTTGGAGGAGGAGAAACTGCAGGAGAACGCCCGGGCAGTGGGCGCCTTTCTCACTCAGACACTGAGACAGCTGCAAGAGAGACACTGTGTCATTGGGGACGTGAGGGGGCTGGGTTTGTGCGTGGACGGAGATAGTTTTCTGATGCTGGATCCAGAGATCCTGCTCCTGACAAGGCCAGGGACATTGTGGCAAAGTTAGCATTCTCAGGGTTCTATTCCAATTGTGTTTATTGCTCTTTCTCTGCCCTTCTCGTATTAGGTTGCTGAAGGAACACAGGATTGTAGCGAAAGTGGACGATGCTTGTGGAAATGTAATCAAAGTGAAGCCGCCCATGTGTTTTAGCAAGGAGAACGCCCAAGAACTCGTTTCAGCTCTGGATGAAATTCTTGTAGGATGAAGACCATTGTTTGTAATTTCGCGGGCACACAAGTACGCACGCGGTGCATATTTGTGGTTAATTTACAGCGAGCAGCGCTGCTGCAAGACACGCCTTCAATTCTCAGCTATTATTAGGTGCTGCAGCGTAGTAAAAAGAGTTTTTTTTCAAAAGGTGTTGTTTATAAACGCAGTCTCTGAATAGTATAGCTAGGAGCGAAGTATATACAGTATGTCAGAACAGCACAACGGAGCGGGCGGAGATCTTCTGTTCGCGTGGCTGACGCCCATCGAGGCACACGTGGACAAGAAGCTGCACAGACCTCGCTCGCCGAGCCTCAACTCGCCTCTTCTGCGAGCCAAGACCGCCATCCGGAGGACGTTCAGCGCCGGCCAGCGAGCTCAGAGACACAAGGAACAAGGTACGGTTGCAGGTCTCCAGCAGTTTATAGTTGTGCAGTGGTCGATGGGTGATGAGCTTGTAGCCTTGCAGCCCGTCCGGCTCTAGCTGTGTCGTGTTGACTAACATTGTCTCGCAGGGATGCTTACACGCTGCATGCTACATGCCCACCACGTCCGCTTGTTGTAGAACCCCACCAACACACTGACTGCATGCACTCTACGCGTGCAACTCCTTATGCAGTGTGAAGGGATTGTTGTGTGTGTGTGCTGTGCGAAGCGTTCCTGCAGTTAGTCGAGTGTTAACCGTCCCATTGCCGTTTTTCTGTGCAGTGCGAGAGGCTGTGGACGCGTGCTGGTGGCTGAAGGCGGCCGGATTCCCCCAGTACGTCCAGCTATTCGAGGGTAAGCAAGTCAGAGAGAGCGCTAGCGCTTCACGCCTGGGTGATTTGCGGTCGCTTTGCTCACTGGGTTCATCTAGAAAGAGCACCCTCCTCTCCTAGACACAGCATGATATTTCTCACACTGCGTGGCTGCATACCTGTAAGGTCAGTTCTCACCCTGACTGCGCCATGGTCAGGGACATCCTCACTTCTTCTGTCACTGCGAAGAAGAAAAGTTTGTGTCGTATTGTGCAGTTGATGGAGCGTGCAAAGACGTGAACATTAGGTGCTCCATTGAGCTATGGACACGTGCTGTCTTGGCTGGCTATGTAGCTACAACCTATAGAAAGAGCGCTGCGTGATGTAGTGCTCGGCCCATTCTGGCAATGTGTGTTCTCACTGTCGCAACTTGAATTGGAGCTGCTGTCAGCCGTCTGTGTGTCACACAGCGGTCCAATCTCCGTTCTTTCCACCCTCGCCACGTTGTGGCCCTCGAGTCTGTGTGCTATGTGTGCCTGATGCAGCGCTCGCATTGAGCCATACACACTCGCGAACACCGTCTCGTGTCGCCCGCCATTGTCTGGGAAATTCCTCACTATTCAACGAATTCCGTTAATGCTCTCATCTGTCCGGCTTTGCCACGTCTATCCAGACCATTGTCCAAATTTCATCATGACATCTTTCTCGAATGCTCTCATTTGGATATTCGGTGGTTTTGGCTGCGGCGTTTACGTGTTGACAGTGCTTCGCAGACAGCTGTGTTGCCGCCAAAGCCTCTTGTCCGAGATGAGGGTACAGTGGTCCAGATACAAGTCTGGCGATTAAATGTGGGATTAGATTTCTGGTCAACAACAAAATCTGGGGGAGAGGAGGGCACTAATGGGGTTTACTTGCCCCTTGGGTGGCTTCCAGGTGGCACCTATAGGGGGAAATCACGCAACTGTTTTACGCTGGGCTACGTATCATCGACGATACCTAGATCGAGCGATGCATCTCTCGTCCTCATCTCCTCTCTCTCTCTCCTTTCTTCTCCGGCTCTCTGTAGATGGGCATTTCCCACTGAGCATTTCAAAATTTCAAGTGGAGAAAGATCACAGTTTTCTGCTGCAGACTGAGCTAGAGACCTTAATCAGGTAAATAAGTACACATAAGTTGACCAGGGTTCACTGCTAGTAGGTAGGATGGCAGAATTAACCGGTGTGTTAGGTACAAGGTCCCCCGACTAACAATATGTTGGTCCACCTACTTAATGTATGTGTCTTAACATTGCTTCGTACAAGGCCGTTGAAGCCTTATTTGTGTAGGCGTGTGCTTGTAAAAATTTATATCTCTCTCTTCTTTTACTTGTTTAGACTGTTGAATGTGCTGAGTCGTTCGACAGCTCAGATGGAAGAAATATTGAGTTCCCCTAAGGTTAGCGAAGTTACATACGGGGAAGAGGGAGGAGAAAAGAAGTGGGGGTTTAGGAGGATTAATTCACTCATTCTTGGCCCAGAGACTGTAGTAGGTGGCCAGTAATGGTCTCCCTCCATTACCACAATACATTGTCACCTTCCTTCCTTCTCCTACACACTGTCCCCTATATGCCGGATCCAAACCTCTGTGGGTGTAAACGTACTATAGCCGGTGTTTATATACAGTATATGGAAGTCGGTCTCCTTAACGGTAATAGGATAAACTACCTCTGTTGCATAATATATGGCCCCATAATGCACCGCGGTCTCTCTAATGGTGGAGATGCTGTGCAGAACCTTATAAGGAAAGCTTGCCTTCTTAAAGAGACACAGAATAAACTGCTCATTAGCATGTCTGGCGAAAAAACAATCGTCCTGTAATGGACTAGTATATTGCTTTTCCTTCAATATACACATTGTGGGAGCCTGTAATTAGGTACATAGCTATACAAGCTTTAGAGCCACTTTGTTGTGGGGGGCTACCTATTAGATTCTGTTGTTAGAGGAAGCAGACCTGTATATAAGTCAAAGACAGTCCCATACTTCAAGGCGTTCAGTGAAGACTGCTATACTCTAAGAGTCAGACACGAAGGTCAAAGTAGGAAATAGACACTGAACTCAGGGGGGATGTGGTTGCAGCTTCCTAAATAGTGGAATTCCCCTCTCTCTACCCTGCTTGCTGTTTCTATTGTCACATCAGGTGCTTGCCTAGCCGGCCTCCATGTGCTTGTGGTGTATGGAGGATGACTAGTCACGCAAAGTGTGAGATTGTTGCCTCTTCGTCATGTAGATTCCCTGTGTCTGGTGTATGTATGTATGTGTGTGTGTGACCAGCGAAGTTGTTAGACATGTGTAGCTTATGTTTCATCATCTAGTTTCACCTCTGTAATGAGATAGATCACTCGTTGTCCCACCCTCTCTCTGTCTTTCCTCCCCTTTTTACGACTTCTCCCTCTCATCTCCCCCCTGCCCTGAATCCCACATGCAGAGAGATCCTACCGGAGGTCTAGCCATAGAGAGAGCACTCAGCGATCGCTGGGTATACCGACAACACTGGCAAAACTGGGGCCGCAAGACACACCCCCGTCGTCATAGCGATGGCTCCGAGGGCGGTAACCTTGCCGACACCTCTTTCCCTTCGCCCGAGGGCCCAAACAACCTCGTGGTCTCGGAGCTGCGGGGCAGTTTGACTGACCTCACCCGGGAGGTCAAGACCTACTCGTTTTGTCCCAACGAGGACACAGATGTTCCTCCAATAGTAGTGGATCCTCCTGGTACCACTCAATATGGCAGTACCTCCTGCCCCAGTCCAGCGAAACCCTTCTTCCCTCCTCCTCCCCCCTCGCCCCCTGTTGACAAGGTGATATGGAGAATGGGAGGTGGGGGAAGGGAGGAGTGAGGCTGAGTGGTCACAGTGTGACAGCGAGGCTGACAGTGAGATATTCGATCCAGACTCGAGTTCTTTGGCGAAGAAGAAGACAGTTTTACATCTGGTCTCTGCCTGTCTTTGACACAGCTTGCTGAAACTGCGTTCCTACGACAAGCTCTCACACTCCTCCAAACGTCTTCTCCCTCGAGGGCACGACGTAATCGATACCAGCTGCGTTTCCACGACGACCGATGAGAATACCTCGACCAGTGTGAGTGTCACGTCGATGCTGGGAGACTCTGCATCTGCGCTGGACGAGGAAGACCCTGTAATTCAGCCCGTCTCCTCACCAGAGAGACTCACATCCACTCTGTTTGCTGTCTCCGTTGCCAACGGTCGCGAGGGGAAAGCCCCTTACGAGAGGACGTCGAGTGCCACAACGCTACCAGCTTCGTTCAAGATGGCTTCTTCTCCGGGTGTCAATGGCGGGGGAGGGGGTGTGGTCATCACAAAGAGATGGTCTGGTCCAGGGAACGATTCTGTCGGTAGCTATGACTTGAGGTCAGAGGTCGGAGAGGCGGGGAGAGAGCGACGTAGCCGTCTGTCACCCGTGGGAGACCGAGGAGGGTGGATGAGCATCAGCTACGCCCACCCTCCGCGACAGAGGTCACCGGGGTCACCGAGCGAGGAGAGAGACGACGTGACAAAGGTTCGCAGGAGAAAGAAGAGGAGCGGCTCTGGTCATGGGTGAGTCCAGAAACTTTATTGAGTGGTGTCTATGTCCATTATATGAGAGGTTCCACTGCTTTATTGAGTGGTGTCTATGTCCATTATATGAGAGGTTCCACTGCTTTATTGAGTGGTGTCTATGTCCATTATATGAGAGGTTCCACTGCTTTATTGAGTGGTGTCTATGTCCATTATATGAGAGGTTCCACTGCTTATTGAGTGTGTCCCATGTCATTCTCTGAGAGGTTGTTCCATTGTAGGCTGTGGAAGTAAGTGAGTGCTTAAAGTTTGTAACTTTTAAAAGGAATACTTTTGCTGAAAGCCTTAGTTTGTAAAGTTATTTTATCATAGAATTTACTATTTTATCACTAGCACCAAATATTGCCTTAGTTGGAATATAGCGTAAAAGAATTTACTAATTACTAGCGGCAAATATTTCTTGCATGAAATAAGATGTAGTAGTTTAATAGATGAGTAACTGTGGCCAACCTGGCGACTGCTGCATTGCTTGGAAAATTCCCCAAATTCAGCGTAATTTAGCAATTTTCCTCGAGAACGTGTCTCAGTGACAGATGCTATGCTCACACAAACACCAACACATTTCGCCTGACCTGCGCACTCGATATGTACAGTGGTATTGTAGAGATATGTTAAGTATGTGCTGTATTTATAGCTGGCTCTGTGGACTGCCTGTTGAAAGAGGGGAATAAGGTTATAGCTATTTATAGTTCTGTGACTGGCTGTTGAGATAAAGGAAAGGGTGCTGTATATATTTCTGTGGGCTGGCTGTTGAGATACAGGAAGAGGGATCAAAGATACTCATTCAGAGGTTGGCTCTGGGTTGGTCCAGATTGTCCGCCATCCAATGTTGATCAGTTTACACACAATCTGGACCCTTTGGATCTCTCTGTTCTCACTATGTAAACTTGCCAGCAGATTAATGAATGGTGTTGTACTTGTGTACTAGCACCCAATGTGCTTGCCTAGATTGCATTTTTTACCTGTTCCCTCCTTTCTCGACATCCCCTCCTCCCCCTCTTCTCTTGTCCCTCTCTCTTTCTCTCCCATCCGTTGTACAGAAGGTCGAAATCTCGCTGGCACAGTTTCCAGAAAAGACACTGCTACCAACAGCTGCTGAAGCCAGTGAGAATGTAAGTCATAATTGGTCGGAATGCACACAGCCCATTCCTCTAGCTCATTCCTCTAGCTCATTCCTCTAGCTCATTCCTAGACCCCTCCCTGCAGTGTTGGTGGTACTGTGTGTGTGAGTGAGTTTTGCATGTTTGTCTGAAATAGAATGTGAAAGTGAAATTGGGTGGTAAATTGCCTGTGAAATAGATCCTGATAGTCAGTATTTCCTTCTAGTTTCCTTGAATTCCTTTACAACCTGGCCTGTCACATTCACACTGTCTCTCTCTCTCTCTCTCTCTCTCCTATCTCTCCTCTCTCCTATATATCTCTCCCTCTCTCCCCTCTCTCTCCTCTCTCCTATCTCTCCTCTCTCTCTCCTCTCTCCTATATATCTCTCCTCTCTCCCCTCTCTCTCCTCTCTCTCCCCTCTCTCTCCTCTCTCCTATATATCTCTCCTCTCTCCCCTCTCTCTCTCTTCTCTCTCCTCTCTCCTATCTCCCCTCTCTCTCTCTCTCTCTCTCTCTCTCCTCTCTCTCCTCTCTCCTATATATCTCTCCTCTCTCCTCTCCTCTCTCTCCTCTCTCCCCTCTCTCCCTCTCTCTCCCCTCTCTCCTCTCTCTCCTCTCTCCTCTCTCTCTCCTCTCTCTCCTCTCTCTCTCTCTCTCTCTCTCCTCTCTCTCCTCTCTCTTCTCTCTTCTCTCCCTGCAGACTGGTACCAATAGAAGAACTATCGGCAGGGCAGATATCAGTTCTCCAGAAACTGAGTCTTGTGAAACTCACTGCTATGCTGGAGCTCTATGGCTGCCCTGTCAACATGTGAGCAGATCACTATCACATGATCATCACATGATCTTCTCCCACTGCAGAGTGAGGTGTCTAAGACGTAGACAGAAACAGCCTGAGATCAAGGGTACGAAATAAACCAAAAACGAGTAAAAATTTCAACCCAAACATTTTTTTCACAGGGAAGAATGTGTTTGGGTCTTCGTTATCTGAGAATGTGCGTCGCTATGGTAACCCGCTACCTCCAACCATACTGTGTGCTCTCCAGCATCTCCATGACAATGGTGAGTAAACCCCTATCATTAGGGACTTGGTGATTGGCAATGCTCCGCGCTTTTTCCGAGGAATGTGTCGTTTTGTTCCGATTCCATTGGTTATTTGGGAGACAGTGTCAAATTGCATTCTGCATACAGTCCCATACCTTGTGTGTGTGTGTGTGTGTGGCCCTCCAGTTGCCTTTGGTGTGGGGTGAAGTCACACAGAAACTACACTAATTAACATTCCTTGCATTATAAGTGGCCAGGAAAGTAGAGGAAGATTTTTGGCCTTGTTTTAATCACTTCTCATAATCACGTTTACCTTTCATGATGTCATGTGATGTAATCTTGTCGACCTGGGAGACCAGCTTTTATCTGGGGGTTGTTGCCCAGTGTCACCTGAGACTAGAAATAAGTTGGTGCTTTATCTTACCCTCCTGGCTTGTGTATTACTGTACTGTACTTCAGTTGTCATGTGATGTCATGTGACCTCACTCTGGCCTGTGTATTACTCTACTACTTCAGTTGTCATGTGATGTCATGTGACCTCACTCCCTCAGGTCTGGAGACAGTGGGCATATTTCGGAGAGCCGCTGGAAAATCTAGAGTGGGGGTCCTCAGGGGGCTCATGGAGATGAACCCAGGTGAGAGGGTCTGCCCCCCGGGGACCTAATATTTCCCCTGAGATCTGAAATTGACTCAGGGGGTTTATGAGAACATTTCGTGCAATGCAATTTTCACAAACTATTGGCCCGTCACTCAAAATAAGGTCCACAGTGACTTTTTCACTGCAAACTCCAGCTGTCATGGAGGTATCTGGGATGGCTTTTTCCTGCACGTTCTCACTAAAAGTACAATTAGACCGCCCCTGCTTTCTAAGCGATGTTTTTGCAAAGTACATTGTTATTGTTTTACCAAGTGCGTGTGTCGTAAAATATTTGTGAAATTCACTATCTCCTCTCTCTCTCTCTCTCCTCTCTCCTCTCTCTCCTCTCTCCTCTCTCATTCTCAGAGTACTGTGATTTCGAGGGCTACTCAGTGTACGACGTTGCAGATCTCGTGAAGCAATTCTTCAGAGAGTTGCCTGAGCCTCTGCTGACTGTCAGGTTTTCTGAGCTCCTCACCTCCATCCAAGACAGTTAGTCTCTCTCTCCCTCTTCTCTTCTTCTCTTTCTTCTCTTTCTTTCTCACTTGTATGGCTGCACATCACCTGATGTTTATCGAAGTGTTTTTAGAAGCATTCCTACGTCAGAGGATAGCAACACCACTCTTTCGTTCCTCTCCCTCTCTCACTCGTTTTTCCATTCCTCCACCTCACACACTTCCACCCATTCCTCTCTTCATTCTCCCTCTTCTCACTCTCCCACCCTCCCCACACCCACACACTCCCACATATCACCAGTAATCCCCAATCCACTGAGAGTCCAGATGGTCCGGTGTGTAATGCTCCTGTTACCAGACGAGAATAGATATGCCCTCCACCATCTCCTCTCTCTACTGGGGGACATTGCCATGAGAACTGACACCAACCAGGTACACAGTACAACATCTCACCAGCACTCATATGTGACCGTGCACGCAAAAACCAACCTTACACCGCAATGTTAAATTATCGAGTACGCGTGAATATAACGCCTACACCAACCGGTAGGCAAACCACTTTTTTGCCTATAAGTAAGCTTACCGTCAGAGCTACCACTGGTACCTTTCCTGCCTCCTAGGACGCCCTTCTCGCCAGAAAAGAAGCTATTTCTCTGTAGCGGTGGTCATGAACGAGCAAGCGAACACGGACGCTCACGGCGGGGGTGTAACGGAATCTCTACACACCGTTTTTCCCCGCGAAACTAGGCAACAAGATGCAGCGACTACCAGTCACTTTCCTTTATCCGCACACGAGCACAAGGTTCCTGAAGAACTGGAGTGGTGCAAATGAGTAAAAAAGAAGGGTGGGGACGTTTGATATTTTGGTTTTGGAGTATGTGGTTTGAACGGGGTGGCAAGGGTGTGGTGCTGGTGGGGGGTAATTAAGGAGGAATATTGAGAGAGTAGATATCCTCTAATCTGTTGAGCGCTGCCGCCCTTAAAAATACTGCAGCCCTAGTGTGCCGCTCAAGACAGACGGAAGCCTGCAGCTGCTTCCAACAGTCACGTAGCTGGCTAAGGACTGTCCTGGTTTTAGATCTAGAACCCAGCTCCATAGCACACACGGGCTAGTTTTTCACGAAACACATCGAACGACCTGTCTAACGAGTGACAGCCACGAACGGTACTGCATCTGTCGCAAAGATGGCGCACAGAGTCAAGCCGTTGCTTCGCTTGAATCGCCTTACAGAGAAGCCTGAAGTCTATCAGCCGCTTAGGGCCGATAGAAAGCGTTCTTTGCTGTCAAACCACTGGTGGCTAAAATTTCCCCGGGAAAAATCCGTAACGTGACGTCATATTCGTACGCGACAAGATACTGAAAAATTTCATTAGACTATTTCGCGTTTGTATAGCCCCCGCGTTGCCCGCGTTTGAAAAATCGTAACTTTTAAAGGTTTTTCCCGAAAAATATACAAAATAAGCGCTCTATCCAGCCATTTCAAGCTTTACAACGAAACAAAAAAAGCTACTTCACAAAAATGCGGCGTAAGGTTGGTTTTTTCGTGCACGGTCACATATAGAGAATAGATAAGACAAAGTATTGGTCTTTACAAGGATGCTAAAGTAAAGCCCTTTTCGATTCATTGTGCTCTCTGTTCCTTCCAGCAGTAAATTTTCTTGGTCAAGCAATAATTATCTTCAGTTTTTTCCAGTGCTAAAATGTGAAACGGGTAACCTATGTATGTTAATGCAACAGTTGCAGAGTATTTCATTTCACCGCCCAAAGACCTTTCACCGCCCAAAGACGCACCATTCAGTATGGAGCCAGTAATAGTTTTAAGAGGACGGATAAATTTGTGCCTCCATGAACTGAATAAAGGCCTAGGGCGGAGACCCTCAGATGAGCATGCCTATCCTAATAGCCCCCAACACTGGTCAAATAGGACAAAGTGCGTCCATAATGAACCCACAGGCGGTAGGAATTCATGTTGGCCATGAGGCTCTCTCTCGTCATCACATTCCTGGCTAACCCTCTCCATTACCATGTCCTCGTTGTCTTGGCAAGCCTGCCCCACCACTTCCGCTGGCGCCCCCAGCTGCCTCCATGTCTGAGTGGCAATTTGCTCCGCACACAGGGTGTGAGTGTCTTCAGTTCTCTTTGGTCCACTGACAATGTTAGCACTCCACCCTGTACTGGGCTATATATACAGTGCAACCTCTGAATAAGGGACATATTGGACACCTCGGAAGTGTCCTTTATTTAGGTCTCCCTTATTTGGACGTACACTAATGTATTAGTATATATGGGACAGAACCAGAGAGGTGTTCCTTATTTAGACGTACACTAATGTATTAGTATGGGACAGAACAAGAGAGGGTCCTTATTTGGTCGTACACAATGTAAGACCAATTGTAGAGACGTCCCTATTTAGACGTACACTAATGTATTAGTATGGGACAGAACAAGAGAGGTGTTCCTTATTTGGACGTACACTAATGTATGGGACAGAACCAATTGTAGAGGCGTCTCCCTCTTTACTAATGTAAGTATGAGACAGAACAAAGCGTCCTTTATGGAGAGACTTTTCCTTAATTCCGAGTGTCCTTTTTCGGAGGTTCCACTATCTATGTGGTCACTCCTGAATGATTGGAATGTAAACCTTACCCCTGGTCGTCGTAGTAATGACAGTATTGGGTCACCATGGCAACAGTTGTACACATTGGCAAGAAATCAGGTGGAAATTGAAAATGAGTATTTTGTGAGCGTTGCTCAATTACGTCCGTGGCCAACATTGTTTGCAGCAAGAGTTGCTGTGTGCCTATCACATGTGGACAACTTCCTTCTTCTAAAGAGGATACGGCATCTTGCCTACCAATAGTCCACTGTTTCAACATGCATGCCACTTACATCCAATCTTCCTTCCTTCTTCCTTTATGCATCCGTGATAGTCACATGATAGTCACATGCTCTCGTATTTCCCAAAGCAAGTCATCCTCTCTTTCTCTGCTTACTTTGACCCTCTCTCTCTCTCTCTCTCTGCAGATGGACGCCAAGAACCTCTCCCTGTGTTTCTCGCCCTCTCTCTTCTCCCTCTCCTCCTCACCGCTCAGGCCGCTGGCCAACCCTGGCAACCCTTTCCCCCGCATCCCATCCCTCAAGAGACACACCATCAACAACAGTGGGTCGCCTCTTTCCCTCTCCTCCACCAAGGAAGTCACTGAGACTGTGGTCAGTAGTTCACATACAACATACGGACTATTAACTGCAAATGTTTAAAACTGTTTAACTGCAAATTTTTAATGACTAAGGTATATACGAGATGATGCAACCTTCCATGGCGCACTTTCGTTCTTAATGGCATGTTTGACATACTGTGCACGTAGAAGTTAGGAGAAAGAGAGAGTAAAAAGTGAGCGTGCAAGTCTTTAGAGCGTAGTTGTCACAATGGACTAGAGTGAAAGTAGTACCTACAGAGTGTGGGACTGAGAGTGTGTAGTGTCAGTGATGAGTGGATGTTGTGTTCCGTAGACGTCCAGTGGGTGTCTTCAACTGATGATCACTCATCGCAGAGAAATCTTTCAGGTTAGTTCTTCAGTACTTCATAGGATCACTTTCTCTTAGACACTTTAATAAAAATGAGTAAGTATTTACTGAGAGTCCCTCAACTTCTTTCTTTCTTCTCACGGACCAAAGGTGGCAGCTGATCAGTACAGGTCGTCAAGTTTTCATATCTGGAGTCTGAGTGGCCCGTTCCATCACCAACCCACCGCCAGCGACCAGTATGAATGGGGACCAGCAGTCCTTCCTCGACAGCTGACATCACACCATCTTGAAGTTGAGACTAAGTGAGAGAGGTGGGTACTAGCGAAAAATTTTGCACCTCAAAACTTTTAGCAAAAATTTGTATATACTCAAAATATTTATTTGCAGGAGTCTCGAAAGGAGGTTCAAGGACTGGGTGGGAGTGAGGAGGTGAGGAAGGAGGGAGGGAGGGTGTGGAGTGTCTCATGTGAGTGTGGGTGACGGAGTCCCCCTCTGGGTCTGGAGAGGAACTACTGACATCCCTGCCGCCTCGCCCAAGACTGTCTTTGAGAGGATCTGGTACCAGAGGTCAGTCCCATTCCAATACCTCAATGTCTGGTTTAAAAACCTTACCTTACATCATCACTAACCGTATTGTACTTTCATTCTGGCTTTTACAGAAGCTCCACTTACCCCGCCATAGCATTAGTGACTACATGTACTGTTCTCTCTCTGTAGACATGTGTGGGATAAGACGATGGTAAGCAGCTGGAAGGTCGCGACCCTTGACCCCCAGACGGAAGTCTTCCAGTACGTGACTAGAGCCACGCCCCCTCTCTGCGACCGGGACCACTGCCTGATGAGGTCATGGCACAGGGATGTCCCCACTGGGCGATACGTGATAGTGGCGACCTCTGTGAGCCACCCACAGGCGGAGCTTCGGGCGGGGATTCGGGCGGTCCACCTGGCGTCTCATTTCCTCCTCCAGCCTTGTCCTCATGGTACCACCGTCACCGCCATTTCCAGAGAGGACTGGAGGTACGTGTGGCTTCTATATATAAGAATCACGTGGGAAACTTTGACGATTGAAAACTGAGAAACTATGGTTCTCAAACCTTAAAATTTGTGTTCTCGGCACAATTTTGTCATAATACTATATTCAAAGTAGTATTCTCCCTTCAAATCTATCAGAAAATGGGGGTAGACGTAATCCTACTGCACATTAGCACACTTTTGTACTCCTTATACGCTTTGTTTTAGAGTTTTTCTCTCCCTCACTCCACAGAGGCCATAGCAGTGAGTACTACAACAGAAGTCTGGGGCCCTACCTGGTCTCATCCACTCTGAGCATGCTCAGAAACTCCTTCAGAGAACTTGACTTCCTGGAGACTCCAGTCTAGCCCCGCCCACTTACCGCACCCACCATTCAATCCACCACATCATCATCATCACATCATCAGTATAAAATCATCGTACATACATTGTTATATAAAGGTTGAGGGATATAATACCCAAGTCTAAAACTAATATACTAGTGTTGTTGGGATAAGTATCGCGCTAAACCGCTGTCGGCTTCCTCTGCTCTTTCCTTGTAACAGGCTTTTTCTGTTTCAAGATCTTTTATCTTGGCAAGCATTGTTGCCGTCTTTTCCGCTTCATCTGCTGAAATTTTGTTGACTTCGGTTTTCTTATCATCGAGCTCCTTGCTAGCTGCTGCAACCTTTCCCTCAAGGTCCTTGTTGTGCAGAGTCAGCATTGTGATTGTGTTTTGCATGTTTTCTCGATCAACTTCCATTTTCATTTCCGCTTCACGTTTTTCTTCATCCTTCTTTTGTAACTGTTCAAGCAATTTTCTCTGCTCTTGCTCCTTCTTGTGGATTGCGTTTTGTGTGAACTTGATTTGCAAGTTGACTAGTTTTGTGGATAGAAGATCAGCCATTTGACTCTTCCGATAACCTGCTGATTTACTCATCTCTGAAAGCCGCTTGCATAGTTCTCCAGCTGAGGGGCGTTGAAAGGACACATCATTCAAGCAGTCAACAGTGAGTTGACGCATGGGGTGGTTGTCATCAACTTTGTCCAAACTTATCTTGTACCGTGTGACCTCATTGATTGTGGCATCTTCTGGTTCGAGAATCTTTGTCAGAGGCTGTGGCATTTTGCGTGTGACGACGTGTAGAGCAAGAACACCGAATGAGAAGCAGTCAATGTCTTCGTTGTAAATTCCACTGCTAAATGACTTACGAGGCAGACCAACTGCAGCGCCAGAGCCCACAGAGAGCTCTGCTTCTGGTGCGTTCACCTGTAGTGATGTTACCCCGCCAATCTTCGCCCTGCCTCCCTTAACAAGAACATTAGTTGCATTCAGGTTGCTGTGAATGATGTTGTTCGAATGTAGGTACTCTAGACCTTGGGCCACGTCACTGCAGAGGTCGAGCTGTGAGTGCAGTGGTAGTGGACTTTGGTGCGATTTCTCGAGGAAATCTTTCAAATTAAGATCCATGAGCTCCATTATTAGAATGGGCCCAACCACACTTTCATCATAGCAGATGCCAAAAGGTAACACAATGTTCGGATGACGGATATTCTGCAAGAGCTTGCAGCCCCTCTCGAAATCCTCAACTTGCCATTTCGAACATTTGCTGAGCTCAGGGTGGATGTATTTGGCTGCACAGGAAAGGCTGAGGAACTGAGCCTTACAGATGACAGCACTGTCGCCATTCATTATCACTTTGTGTTGGTGAACCTTAACTTGGCTGCATGCAATCACAGGAAGACCATCTTCTGCTAGCCTTGAGCACTCAGATGCAGAGCTTCATAGAAAAAAAACAACACTTGATTGTGTATTCATGACTGTCAATGATTGTGAATAATACCTGGACAACAGAGAGACAGACGGACGCATCTGTCGCATGTGTGATCGGCTACCAGACTTTTGCAGAGCTGGCGGCGTCACGGTTCTCTACAACAGGGAAATAGTTACTATGAATTTGATCTCTTTCAGACATGTGACCTACTCATGGACCTACATATGATTGCAATGAGATACCCTTGCAGTTAGTGTGTGTACTATATAGGGCTAGGGCTAGTACACAGACTAACAGCAAGGGTATCTATGAATAGCATTTTCATTGCAATCATGCCATTTTAATAGTACACACACTAGCGGCAAGGGTATCTATGAATAGCATTTTCATTGCAATCATTCCATTATCACTTACCCCCATCAAACAGAAAACCTCCTCCGTATTCATTGTGTAAATAGCCCTGCCCTTTTACAAATATCTCCAGGCAATGGGCCTTGGGATGTGAGGAGTGGGGAGACAGCGAGGGCGCTAACCATCACATACGGTGCAAGTGCATTTGGAATTAGAAAAATAATTTTAACGGAGCTTTCAACGATCATATATGTGCTAACAGCAGCCTGTTCAAGGTCGGCTTTTTCGGCAATCTTGTGCTTGAGGAGGCGAATATCACTGACTGCGAATTGGTTGAGGTTATGCTGCGGTAGGATTGCAAAGATGGCGACAGAATCTGGCTGTGCTATTGCAAATTGGATATTTTTTAGCACTTCTGCACTAGTATGCTGCTCGAAATCGCCTAATTCGGTGCGGTATTTCTCCATTTGGAGCTTAAGGTCGGCATTTCCAAACCTATTTACGATTTTCTCCAGTAGCTCGTAATTGTGCCAGCTAACATACCTTTTGACTATGCAAAACATTTGGAAAAACTCTGTATTGGGGTCGATGATGCGCTGAAAATCGACATCTGGTATTTTCCTTGGCCTTTTGATTTTCCATGATGGCGGTTGAGACGAGACAAGGACTGCAAACTCCTTCCGATCCAGCTTTATCTCACTAAGATAGGTGTAAACCTTCATGGTAAGCTCTTCGAATAGGCTGTACAAGTGACCTAACTGCCGCTGTACCTCCGCATCAGGCACTTCGTCTGGCCGCATGACGACACTGCAGTTAACTTGAATAAAGAAACAAACAGCTTAGCTTGTTAGCTAGTGGAGCATTATTGATTTAACTTACGAAGGTTCGGAGGCGAGGATCGCGACACAGGCGACGCAAGGGCTTGATGGTGGTCCGTACTTTCTACGACAACGAATCTTTCTTCCAAATTAGCCGCCAGGTCTTGCTCGTTCACCGTGCATACGCGCAAGGACTTAACTAAACCGGCCCAGGTGGGGCTGGGCTCCAGTTGCTTGCGCCATTCACGAAGCATATAACGAAGCCCTTTCTCGAAATTGCCATTACATTCGCTTTCTATTTCTTCCAATCTATCTTCTGATACACCGAGCTGAAGACCGATGTTGTACCACTTCTTTTTTACAAAAAACAACTCCCGTTCTAGCTCAGCCTGCTTCGGGATCTGGGAGCAGTCTTTAGCAGACGACATGATTCGCGTTTGTGACTCAAGCTCCTTAGCCGGTTTACTCCTGCGCATGCGCAGTTAGCAATGACTTTCAAACAATATTCAGACATCTAAAGCATGTTCGTGCCACAAATTCATAGGGAATTGGCTCCACCAGCTCCGGTTCCTTGCCTCCCGTCCTCACAAAGTGTCCCAGCCGTGGCTCCTCGGGCAGTCGTTTACACACCACCTTCTCTCCCCTCTCCTTCGCCTGCTTCCTCTTCAGTTCATTGGCCTTGACTCTCTTGAGGAAATCCTCCCGACATCGAGAATGCTTCACATGCTCTATCCTCACATTGATCCGTTTCTGAATGGTCCTGTTTCTGTAATTATAGGAGAGGGCAAAAAAAGCGAGGAAAACACACATGAGCTCAGGCTAGTACGTGATAGTGGCTACCTCGGTGAGCCACCCGCAGGCGGAGCTTCGGGCGGTCCACCTGGCGTCTCATTTCCTCCTCCAGCCTTGTCCTCATGGCACCACCGTCACCGCCATTTCCAGAGAGGACTGGAGGTACATGTGGCTTCTATATATAAGAATCACGTGGGAAACTTTGACGATTGAAAACTGAGAAACTATGGTTCTCAAACCTTAAAATTTGTGTTGTCGGCACAATTTTGTCATAATACTATATTCAAAGTAGTATTCTCCCTTCAAATCTATCAGAAAATGGGGGTAGACGTAATCCTACTGCACATTAGCACACTTTGGTTGGTTAACCCTTTTGTTTTAGAGTTTCCTCAAGCCCATTCTCTCCCCCGCTCCACAGAGGCCACAGTAGTGAGTACTACTGGGGCCCTACCTGGTCTCGTCCACTCTGAGCATGCTCAGAAACTCCTTCAGAGAACTTGACTTCCTGGAGACTCCAGTCTAGCCCCGCCCACTTACCACACCCACACTCAATAATTCATTACACCATCATCATCATCCATCATCATCAGTTCAGAATTATAATTATTCACACACATGAATAATAAAAACCAACTGCAAACTTGTCAGATTTTTTAACCTTGCCTCTGTGGTCATCTCCATCTGCTTAACCTTGGCATACATTGCTTATCTCTTATGGTGATGATGGTCTGTGCATGCATGTGTAGCAGCGGAAATTTACGCCCATGCTTGTTGACACGACCCACCAAGCCGCCACACCCAATACTCAATAATCATCACACCATCATCATCAGTCTATAATTATATTCACAAACTAAACATAAGAATGTAAGTTATTGGCTTTGTTGGGATAGCCGCCTAGTGTAGTATTTTTCAGACTGTTCAAACTTGTGTTTGTATTCATCTCTTTCTTTCTTGTATTGCGTTGTTTTCTCTCTCTCGTTTTGTGTTTCTTCAAGTTCGTTGAGAGCTGCCTTGACCTTTTCATTGAGAAAAGCAATTGTATCCTCTTGTGACTTATTGGCTGCTTCCAACTCTCTCTGCTTTTTTTGATGCATGTTGTGGGCTGCGTCTAGCTCTGTCTGCTTACATTTCAATTCTTCGTGCAGAGCCTCGTTTTCTTCAGTTTTCTCATGGAGTCTGTCTCGTGTGTATTCAATCTGCAAACCAACTAATTCAGTGGAAATGTGTTCTGCAGCTTGGCTGTTTCGGTAAATAGATGACTTGATCGTGCTTGCTAGCTCTTGACACAGCTTTGTGGCTGATGGTCGCAAGCTGTCCTTGTCATTCAAGCACTTGATAATAAGCGGGTAAAGAGGATGGTTTCTATCTTCTACTTTCTGCAGACCTTTTGTGTATCTCTCCACTTCACTGGACTCGTGAGCCTGTGTGTTTGGTTGGGGGAGCTCTCGAGTGGCAATATGAATGCCCAAGACTCCAAAAGAAAAGCAGTCGATGGCTTCGTTGTAGTCGGCACAGCTAAAGGAGCGACGTGGCATGCTTTCTGGTGCCCCTGGGCACAATGAGAGCTCTCCATCTGGGGTGTTGATCTGAAGGGTCATTAACCCACAGATTTTAGCCCTTCCTCCCTTGACAAGGACATTGGTGGCAGTCAGGTTCCCATGGATGATGTCCTGTGCATGCAGGTATTCCAGACCCTGAGCCACATCACTGCAGATGTCTATCTGTAGGTAAAGCGGGAGATCTAATTTACGGTGATCCAAGAATTCCTTTAGGCTTTGATCCATCAGCTCCATGAGCAGGATTGGTTGCCTTAGGCGATTGTCGCTGTGGATACCGAGGACAGCAACGATATTTGGGTGTCGACAGTCCTGCAGGATCTTGCAGCCCTTCTTGAAATTCTCCATTTGCCAGGACGAGATCTCGACGAGCTTGTGGTGGAGATACTTGGCAGCACAGGGAAGATTGAGGAACTGGGCCTTGCACACAACGGTACTATCGCCATTCATGAGCACCTTGTCGTGGAATACATGTATGCGACTGGGATCAATGGATTCATCCATTTCACTTGGTCTGGATGAGTCAGAGGAGAAACTTACACTGCTACTTACACTCCTGTAGAGAGATTAAGTGTTCATGGTCCAATATAATTATGAATAATACTGTAGCATACCTCAAGACAGACCGCTGCACCTGGTGCGTTGATGATGCACTGCTGACTCGACGTGGGGCTTGTGGCGCCACCTTTCTCTAAAGGGAAATACCACTATAATCATTTAGCGCAGACTCAGTGCATGTGACTATGTTTATCATTAACTGTAGGGTAGCAGACACCAATGAATATTAAACTCATTCCATAGTTACTTACCCCCATCAAACGGAAAAACCTCCTCCGCATGCATGTAGTAGACTGGGATCAATGGATTCATCCATTTCACTTGGTCTGGATGAGTCAGAGGAGAAACTTACACTGCTACTTACACTCCTGTAGAGAGATTAAGTGTTCATGTCCAATATAATTATGAATAATACTGTAGCATACCTCAAGACAGACCGCTGCACCTGGTGCGTTGATGATGCACTGCTGACTCGACGTGGGGCTTGTGGCGCCACCTTTCTCTAAAGGGAAATACCACTATAATCATTTTAGCAGAGTCAGTGCATGTGACTATGTTTATCATTAACTGTAGGGTAGCAGACACCGATGAATATTAAACTCATTCCATAGTTACTTACCCCCATCAAACGGAAAACCTCCTCCGCATGCATGTAGTAGACTGGGATCAATGGATTCATCCATTTCACTTGGTCTGGATGAGTCAGAGGAGAAACTTACACTGCTACTTACACTCCTGTAGAGAGATTAAGTGTTCATGGTCCAATATAATTATGAATAATACTGTAGCATACCTCAAGACAGACCGCTGCACCTGGTGCGTTGATGATGCACTGCTGACTCGACGTGGGGCTTGTGGCGCCACCTTTCTCTAAAGGGAAATACCACTATAATCATTTTAGCAGAGTCAGTGCATGTGACTATGTTTATCATTAACTGTAGGGTAGCAGACACCGATGAATATTAAACTCATTCCATAGTTACTTACCCCCATCAAACGGAAAACCTCCTCCGCATGCATGTAGTAGACACATCTTTCGTACATGTCTTGTGGTAGTGGGTCTTGAGAAGTTAGGAGGGGAGAGACAATAAGTGAACTGACCATCAGGTAGGGTGCCAGTGTAACTGGCACGAGGAAGATGATTTCAACCGAACTTTCCCTGACCATGTATATGCGAAGAGCTGCGTGATCTAGCCCTGCTTCATTGGCATATTGCTGCTTTAGCCGTCGCATATGGCTTGCCATGAACTGGTTGCAGTGGTTGTCTGGCAATCTTCCGATGATCGAGACGGAATCTGCTAGAGGCCGGGCAAGCTCAATGTTCTTTAATTTATCTGTGCTCGTACGTGCCTCAAACTTAACCATCTCCGAGCGGTACTGCACCATTTTCCCCTGGAGGTCAGGGTTACCATACCGCTCCGTGATTTTGTGCATCAGTTCATAGTTGTACCAGTTGGTGTACTGGTTTACAACAATGAACATGTCGCGAAACTGTGCAACGGGGTTCATGAGGCGATCGAGATCGACATCCGTCATTTGCCTTGGTCGTGTCCTCTTCCAGGAAGGTACGGGACAGGAAACGAAGACAGCAAACTCATTTAGGTCTGGCTTAGTTGCTGAGATGTACTCGTAAACCTCCATGCGAAGCGTTTCGAAAGCTGCATCCAGAATCATCATTTCTCTCTGCACCTCTTCATCTGGTACTTCATCTGACCGAAGCACCACAGCCCCAGTTGCATTCGCTGCAAAAATACTCTTTTCAACAACAATCACTTTGCAGTAGAGATTGACTTACGTGCTGCACCAGGTAAAGATCTGAATGGGACGACAGACTGTCGCGCAACTGCAGGAGTAGGCTCTTTGCGACTTGCAATAGTGTCGACGTACCTGTCGTGCAAATTTTTGGCCAGATTATACTGGGCCACGGAACGGCATCGCAGCGCTTTCACTACAGCAGCCCATGAACACGATTTCTCTCTGTTGCACCACTCCTTTAGCATGCGACGTAGTCCAGCGCCACAATCATCTTTGACTGCTTTCTCGATGTTATCCAGCACCTCATAGGGGATGTCAAGCTGGAGGCCGATGGAATACCACATGTGGCTCACGCCGAAAAGCTCCTCGACGAGATCCTTCAGCAGTGGGATTTCCTCGAGAGCAGCCAGCTCAGTGCTGGCCAGCTCCCCGGGCTCCGACAAGGTTGAGGAGAGATTTGCGCCACAAGTTGATGTGCTCCTGCAAAGGTTAGATCAGATGTGTTATCATGAACATTTTTTTTGGTCATGAATACATACCGGATGATGGACGACTGTTGCAATTGTTGTGTGTGGGGTTCGCTGGCTCTGCGTGGTGACATTACCGCTCTCTGTAAATTACACAATTGGCATGTGTCAGCTATATTCCCAGACATGTGACTATGTTTATTGTTAGAGTAATGGTTACATAAACGCAGATGAATATTGACCATTACCAATTACCCCCTCACTCCCCTGGTGAAATTTGGGATGTAGGAGAGACATAGTCTACAGCAGACTGGTCTGGACTTGCAGGCAAATTCAATAGCTGCTTAACAAATTCTCAGAAAGTCTGATAACAATACATCTTCAATTTCGTCTGAGTATATTTCACTAATACTTTGTTCCGTCATAAATGTAGGAGGAAAAAATAGCCGTGGCATATAAAATAGATACCAAAGGGAGAATTCTTCCCAATGTGGTGTACGGAGAAGAGAAACCGTTCATTTCTTTAGTTCATTTTTTACCTTTCTTACTGTTTCCATTGTGTGGTCAACCTCCCCTGGAAGAGGCACTTTCGTCAAATACGAATTAGGGCCATGAGGTGTGAATACGATATTTATTACATCATTAAGCTCTGTTTCTTCTTCAAAAGACTTTATTTCTTTAACAATACTTCCAGCTCTTTCTTTAAACAGGGATCACCATACTCCTTAATTATTTCCTCCAGTATATCATAATGCTGCCAATTAAGGTACTGCTTCTGACTAAGAATTGTGCAGATGTCTGAGGTTGACTTGGCCCGACGTAGCTCTCTGTGATCTTGGTGTACTAACAAGTGCTCAGGATTGCACACAAAAACTCTGAAATCATCCAGTGTAACCCTCTGTTCATTCTGGAGCTCTTGAATGTAACGAAACGTTTTGATCGTAGTGAGTTGAAAAGTGTAGCCAGCTGTTTAATTCCTTTCTCAACTTTTGCTGATACCTTGTAGCCTGAACGCGTTTAATAGACATGAAGTGATGATGCTAAAAATAAAGATTACCTTGAACAACACTTTGGCCTGCTGGTGATAATCTTCTCCAGGTTCATCATCATCATTTGCTACAGTCAAGGATATTTAGCTTTATTAAACTGCTAGTAATTACAAGTATGCATACCTTGAGGGCATTTCTTAGCTTTATGTGCGAGCGAGTCTATGTTCACCTACACTCCTGGATTGCAGGCATCTATAATATCAGACCACGACGGATCTCCATCGACTACTATTTGGTTTAACCACTCGGTGATCGTTTCCATTAGGGCCAGCTCTAATTGATCCTTATACCTCTGCTCAATTGATTTCAACGCATACTGAGGAACCTCAAGCTGGGTCCTATTAGCTTCCATTTTTGCGATACCTCGTGTAGCTCCTCCACTAATTCTTTGATAAACCTCTCCTGGAGTACGGCTTCGACATTATGAAGTATGCGCAGTCGCTTCAGAATCAAGAACGCTCGGCCTCACCGACCGAGACAGCAGTGTGCGACGACCTCGTTGCCGAGCGCATTAGCGCGAGGCTACTACTCCCGGTTGTATTTTCGCTCGTATATACGTACGTGCGAATGTCAATTAGTCACGCTTGGGGAATGTAAATTAGGGAATGTCAACTTCCGTCATCGTAAAAGAAGTCTAGCTTCCGCCGTGCGCGCGCGCAGAAAGTCGGGCGTAGTGCAGTGCAGTGCAGTCAGATCAGTTAGAGACGAGAGCTAGAGCGCGCGAACGAGCGGCCTGTGTTTACCACACACACGCGAGGCAAGATTTGCGCGTGCGCATTCCTACTAGTATAGTCCTTTTATTTCGCGCATGCCGACCACACAGTTGCGATG